CCACCCCGTGCTCGGACCACCTCCCCACCCAGGGATGCTCAGCACGGGTACATGGCCCCGTGCATCCCCAGGATGGTCCCCATCCCCTCCCCGGTGGCCAGGGTGGCCGTCACCTACCGCTGGCCGCCCGTTCCTTCCACTTCTGCTTGTTCTCCTGGATGTACTTGGCCCAGGTGGAGCGGAAGCCGGCCAGGTCGGCTTTGATGTCCCCCAGCTCCAGGTGCTCATCCAGGGACGGCTGCCGCCACTGTGAGCTACTGGGACAGGGACAGCTGGGAGCAGGGCAGAGCCACCACCGCCACCTCCCAGGTCCCAAAATAAGTGGGTCTTCCCCCCCCACACACACACACAGAGGGGAAACTGAGGCAGGGTGGCACGGCTGACCTGGCCTGCTGGCTGGCCGCTGGGTTGCCCTTGGCTTTGGTGCGGTCCTCGGCGACGGGCAGCACCATCTTCTCGGCCACGTCGGTCAGCACCGAGAAGGTGGGCTCCACGATGAAGTCGATGAAGCCTGCGGTGAGAGGAAGGCACACGGCGTCCATGGGGACACCCTCTGCCCACGGAGGGACCGGGGTGGGGATGGGGACCCACCGCCACTCACCGATTTGGGACTGGGCCACCAGCGTGGAGGTGCGGTCACAGAGGGGTGAGAAGGGCAGCCCCAGCTCTGCTTCCTTGTCCCCCTGGCAAGGCAAGGCAAGGGAGACGTGTCCCCAAGGGGTGGTCCCCACGTCCCCCGGGACTGGTGGTGGGACGTGGGCGTCCTACCTGCCTGAAGAACTCTTCCATCAGGGCTTTGGTCCAGCGGCTGTGCACCGACCACTGCTTGGTGGGGTGGCTGATGTCGGCCGCGTGCAGCAGCAGCGACAGCACCTTGGACTTATCGATCCTGGGGAAGGGACCCCGGAGCTGAGGTTTGTCCCCAAAACCGTGTCCCCCTCCCCGCCGCCGGAACACCCGCCAGTCCGGAGGTGGGCACCCGCACTCACCTCTCCAGCTGCTGCAGGGATGTCTTCATGGACTTCACCTGCTGGAAGTGGCAGGACATGTCAGTGGCCAGGACCATCTCGATCACCAGAGCCCGCAGCTCCCTGCGTCCCGGGGGGAGGGGGGGAAACACCGTGTCAGCGCCCCGCGTCCCGGTCGGGGACAGCCCCGGGGACGGGGACGGGGACCTTACGCAAACTCGTCCTTGGTGAGGTTGACGAAGATGTTCATCTCGTCGTCCTGCATCATGCGGAAGACGGCGCTGATGTGGTGGTTCTCCAGCACCGAGCGGTCGTTGTAGAGGATGGCACAGTCCGACCTGGGGACAGAGGGGACAGTGGGGGCCCGGCACAGCAGGGGGCAGCCTGAGTGTCCCCCGCCTCCCCAGAGAGGGGGATGTCCCCAGGGGGCCAGCACGGCTGTATCAGTGGCCCTGGGTGTCCCCAAGGTGCCACAACATCTGTACTCCAGCCACATAGTTGGCTCTGGGTGTCCCCAGTGTGCCACCATATCCGTATCCCAGTCATACAGGTGGCCCTGGGTGTCCCCAGGGTGCCAGCACGGCTATAACCCAGCCATATAGATGGCCCTGGGTGTCCCCAAGGTGCCACAACATCTGTACCCCAGTCATATAGTTGGCCCAGGGTGCCGGCACACCTGTATCCCAGGCGTACTGGTGTAACTGGGTGTCCCCAGGGTGCCGGCACACCTGTATCCCAGCCGCACTGGTGTAACGGGGAGGCCCCAGGGGGC